ATATATATATATATATATATATTAGAAAAAGCCCATGGGCTAATTTATTAAAACGGAAAAGATACAGAAAGATTGTATGAGAGAGCTTAAAAGAAAACTCAACTCACACAATACAACACACACAAAATCGAAATAAAGCAAAAATACATAAATATTAAAAACCAAAAAGCCACCGAAGGGCGCAAAAGTGCTCTCACTTTAGTCCTCCCTCTGCCTCTAGTTCTCAGAATTGAGCCTGATAACAAATTAGTAAGGTGAGTGCCATTGCCAGAAGTAACCAAAGTATCATCCATTAGATTCCTGAGCTCAAGTAGGTCTCAGGAATTGCCCGAAGTAACCAAAGTCCTCCCTCTGCCTCTAGTTCTCAGAATTGAGCCTAATAACAAATTAGTAAGGTGAGTGCCATTGGCCGAAGTAACCAAATTATCATCCATTAGATTCCTGAGCTCAAATAAGTCTCCATTTTTCTTCTTTCTCCTCGATGTGTAGACCTGCCATTCCTCATCCGATGATTGACTCATTTGATCAATTGATTGTTCCAAAGTTGGTTGGACAGGTGTAGGTTGTTGCACAACATGATCCCCATGAACCTGAGTGACAGTTACAACTTGCTCGACCTGATGAGGCGGTAGTAAAACATTAGAAGTATTGTCACCTGTAATAACGGTGATATGTTCTAGAGTAAGTGGGGTCTGAAGTATCTCCCTCTCACCCACGATAGGAGGTTCCAGAGAAGGCTGAATGGTTGTAGTATTGCTTGCGAAAATAGTGACGTCCTCAGGGGTATTCTTTTGATGATCAATATTGTCAATAACTTGAAGCTGATCAGGAGGTGATGAAATTACTCTCTGGCGGAGCACTGTGTTTTTTTGGTCTGAAGTGTGGGTGTAGATGTTGACATTGAGAATTGGAGTGGCCGAACATATGTCAGTTTGAACAATACGAAAAAAAAAGCTCAATCAATATCTTTTATTTTGCCAATACCCATGATGTTGTGTGCCCAACCAAATTTCCTCAAAAGCAGATGAAGTGATGTCTCTTTCAACAAGTACTCTGGCTTCTGATGGACGAGAAATATTAAAAGTAGAAATGTCCTTTTTGAGTGACTTACCATAAGCTGAGACAATATCATACAAAACTTTTTGAGTAAAATAATGAAATTTCAGATCAGAGAGGTGAATCTAAACCGGAATGATCGGAGATTTCGTCTGAGGGTCAAAATCTACAACCATTTCAGATCTTCATTGTTCTGTTATCGATCCAGATTATCCTTCTAGTAAATAAACGCGTGTAATCCTTTTCATTATTAATTTGTATGAGAATGTGTTTTCCATCTAATAGTCCAATTTTTCACTCCTAATCATGTGCATGAGCTCAAATTCCTTACGAATCAACTTCATTTTGGGATGACCAAACATAAATTTTCCAACCAAATTCATTCGACAGAAGGAAGCAAGTTGAATGCCTTCAACTTCTGTAAAAACGATGACAGACTTCCCATTATTCCTACCAGGTTTCTTGATATCCTCCTCCCACTCAAACGAAAGAGGGAAAGAACACGATTTAGGTATACCCGAGGCGTGGACACCCGCAAGAGCAGAAACATACGATCTGTCCGAAGTCATCCCCAATAGATGGAGGTGTGACGTTAAGAACAGTGAAGAAAGCAATGAAGAGCAAAGTCCGAATCCAGAAAACAGAGAGCAGGAACAGACGCTCTGTAGGCTGCAGCGAAGGATGCAACCCGCCAAATCGCAGAAGCAAACGACACAGAACAAGGACCCTGCGAAATCAGCTCGAGCAGAGCGGCAGACCGACAGACGACAAAAGCGACGCAGCCCGCCGAAATCGCAGAAACGACGACCCCTACGAAATCAGCTCGAGTAGAGACGACGCGAGAAGCCGACGAGGAAGGTTAAGCAGAGACACGAGAGAGATATCGAAGCAGACACTAGGTTTCACCGTGAGGCGAAACCCTAGCAGAGCGGAGACGACGAGGGACCTATATTACAATTATATATATATATATATATATATATCCAATCTTTATCTTACTAGGAATATCCATATATACCATCATTTTTCTCGAAAATGGAAAAATTCAACTTCATTCAGCACTGCACACCAATTATTCACTCGACCATTTAGTGGCATCATGAAAATGAATCTTGTGTAACTATCATAGAAGGGCCAAGAGCCGTAGAAGCAGTAAAACACATGATCTAATATCAACTTGGATGCCATTAGATAGGACATGTGGATAAGTTTGGGCCATATACATTTGTGGTTGAAAGAGTTTGCAACCCCAAAGTCTCAACTTATGGGTGGTAGCCGATAAATTGATTTGTCTATACTAATATATACTTTATAAATATCAAATCTGAGACCAAACCTAACACTATTATGTGTCGCTGCATTGATGGATGATTGTTTAGTTAATGGTAATGATAAACTGGGAGAATGTTAAAATATCTTATACCTCTATAGAAGAAGTTCACAAATAAGTCTAAAATTGAAGTAAATATTGAAACTTTACTTTGATTCATGTTTATAAATTTTAAATTAAAGACAAATCATTTTGTTGTCATCGTTTTATTTAACAAAAATTTAGAATTACTTAAGAGAATTCAAAATCCCTTATGCAACAAATAAATAAAATCGAGAATTTTGGCTAGACTTGAGTTTAGATTGAACTAAACCAATTATGTAATTTACGTTGTGTTGATCATTTTATGCTGTTATTATTATCTAGGGGTATAATATGATTAATTTTATTTTGGATAATTTTAATTTTTTTCAAGTAGATGATATGATTTGATTTAAATTAGTAAGAGACTAATTTTAAGGATGCCGTTTGCATTTTTAGTAATTTAATATGAATTTTCATGGTTTGCTTTTTCTCTCTCTTCTTTACCCTCTCCCTTTCAAACTGACATCTCTTCTTTTTTCTTCCAATATTTTCTTTATTTTTTGTCTTTTTTCCTTTGAATCGATCTATACATTTATAGTACCAGAGCCTTGTGCTATAGTGCTCACTATATTAATGACCGCTTGCTATTATTCCTTATGTCGAACAACTTTTCTCTTGAATTCTATGTAAAAAAGTTTCCCCCAAATAAGCTTCAAATAAGTTATTTTTACCTAAAAGATTTAAGGTAAACTAGAACCTGATACAATATCCTTTTTTCATTAAACTAGCAAAATTTACTGAACCTCCCTAAAATCTTCAATCTAAATTCTACCAATAATCAGCACACCTCCCTACTCCATACTCCTACTTTTGTGAAACAAATCCTCCAAGTCATTTTAGTTATTTGTTAAAAGTGTGTGAATGGATATGATTGCATCCCCCACTAATTAAAGTGTGTGAAAGGCTAAAAAGCCGACACAAACTGAGACATTAGTTATTGATTGTTTGAGAATTTACACAGCTGGTGTGTGTGTATAAAATAAAGTATGCAGTGATAAAAATAAAAAAAATAAACTTTATAAAAGTAAAAAAAATGTTTAATCACATGGGCATTTATTATTCCTTTTTTGTATCATATGTTTTACCAATATCAAATTTTGCTTACTTCTAAAAAAAATTTAAAAATATAAATGTTAATTTACTCTTTAAAATAATCAAAGCAAAATATAACTATATGAACATAATTAATTAAAGTTATTGCACTCAATGATATTGTCATCATTAGCACTAGCACTTGTGCCCTCTTCAACAACACTTTCATCGTCATCTAGAAAGATAATTTGCAAGTATAGCTGTGAAGAGAGAGATTTATGACTTTAAATATGCCAATTCCATCTATTTTAGTTTATGTTTCTCCACCATGTCTTACTAGGGTTGTAAAGGAACGGAACTGGCTCGCGAGCCTGCTTGAGCTCGACTTGTTAAAGAGCTCACAAGCCGAACTT